ACAAATTTTAATTACCAGATAATGAGCTCCATTTTTTTTTATTAACTTCAAGGTAGATAATTAGAATAAATATTTAAAATAATCAATTATAACATCCTTTGATAAAATAATCAAGAATTATTGTAAATTCAATACAATATAGTACAAATGTATATATTTTGTTTAATATAGACTTACAAAAAATTTGACAAAATCACAGGCAATTTTATTTTCCTTGGGATTTTAAAATGAAGTTTTGTATTTTTAAATAAAAAACGATCTAAAATTTCTCATTTAAGTTTAACATTATTTTATAACGTTATTTATACCAGTTGCTAAATTTAAACATCGTAATTAACTACAAAGAATTTGTAATAAAAATGTGAAATTCAGATTTGTTCTTAAGTGAATTTAAAGGCAAAAAAATTACACGAAATATTAACTTACGTAAGGAACAATTCTTCACAGTGAAAAAGTAAAATAAATTGCTTACCCGTTCCAAAAAAGGATTGATTATCAGTTGTACACTTAATCGTGAACATAACATGGGGGGGCGTGCCTGTTTTGGTCACCTCCTCGTACACTGCGTTAGGTCGCATCTGATTCAATAACATAACTGGATTCATTAGGGCTGCATTTTCTGGCAACTTCTTAGCCGGCCTCTTTTCTACTGGTCCACTCATGGGTTTCCAAACTCCATCAGGCCCGGTAACCGGTGGAGGCACCATTGGAGGTATGCTAGCTGTTGCTTGCGCTATACGTTCGGTCAAGTTATCACCCTCATCCCATGCTGTCAGTAGTTTATGCAAAGCATAGGATGCCACATGAGACCACGAAACATCAGTTTCAGTGTTCGTATTTCCTTCTTCAGTCGTGTCCATGGTTGTCGTTGTCGATGGGACGTTTTCACCTGTACTTGTGCTATTATTCGTAGAGCTTTCTTCAACTTTCATAACTTTTACAACGTTTGCTGCGTCTGCGCGTAATTTGCTGAGTACCAAGTGCTTAATAGCACATTCGGCGGCGTTTTGTTTGGCCATCACCTTTGATTTGCCTGGAATATACATATATTTTTTGTTAACATGATGTTTATCGACATTAACACATAAAAGAAAATGATACAATACAAAAGAATTTCCATTACTTCCAGAGAAATTATTTCAGTATTTAAATTACACAATGTAACTATTGCAAAAATTAGTTGTTTGTTGAATGTTCTTTATTTCACTATATGACAGCTAATTGCCTAAAACGGCTGCTTTTATAATACGCCAGCTTCTCAAATATTTAAAATCGTTATTTATTTGACATTCTTGTCGACTTTTTAATTAATGTGATGGCTTAAAATGTTGCCCTTTAAATGCGCAAAACTCTTTTTGGGTTTAATTATGTAACTAGACAAAATTAAAATCTTCATTAGTGCATATGCTAATTGCAAAATTCAATTTTTACTCTCCAAATAATCTGCTATTTTTACAAAACCGACTGAATCCTTCGGTAGAATATAAAACAAGTTTGGCGTTTTGAAATATTTAACAATCTGATCGTGTTTTATACACTGTTTATCTCTAAAACAATTGTTATGCGCGTAAAAAAATTAATATTTTCTTAAAACATTGTGCAACAAACACATAGTAACTGTCCACATAAGGTGGACATTATTGGTAATATTTGTAGACATATTTTTGCAAGAAAACCACACTGGCAATTTATTAATGTACAACTACCAGCTCAAGCTCTTGCTTCAAATTAAAATTTACTAAGTACCATATCACAATTATTGCCAAATTTTTTGTCAATTAATTCATAAAATGTTTTTTTTTTGCGATTCTTACCGACTCCAACGTGTTCAATTCCATCGACAAGAACCGATGCTTTGCAAAGGGGGGGTTCTAGTCCACCGACAATTTCGGTCATGTTGTAAACTACGTTGCCAGCTAATTCATTTAATACCATCAGTGCATTTTTAGGTTGCAATATTTTACGAAGTCTCAGATTTCGTCTGCGTAGTCGTTCTTTTTTGCTTATTTTACCTGACAAGAGATAAATTAAAAATCAAATAAGGAACAATAAAAAAAAAGAAAAATAATCGCATTCATTAATTGAATTTCAGCCACTTGTTTTTCTCATCGCTGTCGACCGCAAAGGCCCTCGACAGAAAAAAATATCCAGAGTTCCTGGTCGAAAGCTTCATCTTTGCGCAGTGATTGTCATCACTTTTTATGATAATTTTTAAAACAAAAAACAATTTTATTAATTATGCTTACCAGGTGGTCTCCTCATCCAGAAGGGTCTCTTTTTAATAGTACTTCCAGTTGTAGATTCATCTCCGTTAGTAGTTTCTTCAACACTGCCAGGATCTTCTTTGATAGTTGGGGTAACTTGTGGCGGTGGTGGTGTTGGCTGTGGAGTTTGAATAGGAGGAGGCGTAGGTTGCTGTTTCACTTGGGGTGGAGGCGTAGGTTGCTGTTTCACTTGAGGTGGAGGCGTAGGTTGCTGTTTCACTTGGGGTGGAGGTGTAGGTTGCTGTTTCAGTTGAGGTGGAGGTGGTGCCTGTGATTGTGGTTGAGGCGGAGGTTGCTATTGCAATTTATAATGTATTATAATTATACATAGGAAAACAGGAAAATCCTTCAAAATAACAAATTTAGTTGACTTCTACATGAAAGTTAACTAACTAAACAAAAGCTAATACTTTTTTTTTATAGGATAAACTCTCATTTTTGAATTTGTAGGAAATTTTTATAATAATAATCTGTGCGACCCATTTCTACAGCTAATTCTGGAGTAAAAAATAGCTAACTCTCTGGGTCTGCTTTAATAAACAACAAGTATCCTCATGCCTAAAACAGACATTTGGAAAATGAGTTTACAAAAGCATAATTTACCATAGATGTAACACTACCTGATATGTGGAAAATCAAGCTGTTGACTTATCTATGGCTATCTATTAAAAATAACTTGCTAAAAAAATTGTATTGATTTGTGTATACAGAATGGTGGCAATAAATAAATGTAATATTGGAACAATAATGTTACTGATCTTATGTTACAAAGAACACAATCCCATGTATGCATTGTTTTCTTGCATTCATAGTCCTCCATTTTTCTTTGTACACTCATTTAGCGATAAACTGAGCATTAAACGATCGAGGCGTGCATTATTTTAGAAAAGGCTTTACAAAAATGCAATGTATCATTTCTAATCAATTTAATGAAAAAATGATTAATGCGTATATCTAAAATAAATTGTGGTAAAATTACCTGTCTAAATTGCTGCTGTTGTTGTGGCAGTGGTGGTTGTTGAGCAGGTTTCTGCTGGTGATACTGTTGCTGTTGTTTATTTCCTTGTGACAGCTATGAGAGCAGGGAGAATTAACTATACAAGCTAGCCTTAGCGGCTGTGAGCACCGATATAGATGCCACCTTCGACAGTGATGCTTTCACACATCAAAGGTGTCCACAAAAACATATATCTTGACTCTCGTCTTAATAGTAAACGAGAATTTATAATTTCGACACCTATTGCTTTTATACCCTTTTTCTTCTGATAATTCCATGCTTACAAAAGTTCATTGTTTCAAAATGAAAAAAACGAATATAAAATAAACTCCTAAACATGGTATCTAACAGAGTAAATTAAAGTGAATAGGTGTTGAAATTAAAAATAATCTAAAAAAGGTCTAAGAATTTAGTCAAGATACAAGCCCGCTTTGGTTGTTTAACTTCAATCATAAAAAAACGTCACATTAGTGCCATGCCTCAAAATTGATGATTTAAAATTTTCATTGGTTACAAAATATATTAAACAGAATCACTACCTTGTAGTAAGCCTGTTTCTAATGGCTTTTCTAGCTTTAACATTGTAGATTGTAAGAAACAATCACAACAAGGAACCTTTTTTAAACTAATGTGATCTTTTTAAGATTAATGCTAAATAGTTTAGCGGCAATTAAGGACCTATAGCAGTACCACACTACCCAGGCCCTGCATAGTCCTGCTTTAACCCCAGTCCTACTAAACCAGAAAACAATAACATAAAGCATTAAAATTTTATTCTGCTTATAAATTACAATGAACTTTGTTCAGTTTTGACCCAAATAATGCAATTCAAAGTATTTCATATAATTATTCATATATTAAATTTTTATGCCATTTTTGCTGACTAGATTTTTTTATATAAACATGTAGGGCTTGTAGAGGATTTAACGTCTTGGGATTTATAAACACTATTAACTAGTTTATAGCCTTATACTAGAAGGCCAGTTTTATTTATAAATCCATGGAGATCAGACAAAAGCTAGTTGCATAAAGATTTTAGACTCACCTGTCCTCCTGGAATAAAGTTATTTGACAAAGATTGCGGTTGAGGTCTTCGCTGGCCAATATTTCCAATCGAATTAGCAGAATTTACTCCTATTTAATAACAAATATTAAAATTCTGCATCGTAAGGTTTGCTTTTGCCATTTTGATTTTGGATAATTATTATGCACCGTAATATTTAATTATTATCCTTACCAAAGTTGCCCCCTGATCTGCGAGTATTATACGACATTTTGCCTTGTAAAACTGTGAAATTTTAAGCAGAAAATCACACAATTAATCCACAATCAATTGCCAAAAACTTCTTAATATATTAGCAAACATGTACAACTGGCTACAACACTAATATACTATAACAACTCACTAATAACGATTTCACTTAACACGCATGACAGGAAACACAACGCAAAATGTTGCACCATCTTTTCATAAAAGCCATAGATAAAAGCGGAAGTGAAAAATTCTTTGTGACTAAAATATCGCTGCCGGTCCGGCAAGATTGAAAATAAAAAAGAGAAAATAGAATAGAAAATAGGAAGAAATGAAGAAGTAAACCAAATATACAAAACAATTATTCAGTGCAATGTTGAGTACGGAGACAACTTATTTAATATATAATTTACATAACGGAAATTAGGTAATTGTTGTTTAAAACTTACAATAATAACTAAAACTAGTTTTCTTGCCTAAATTAATTAAATAAAACTTTCAAGACACCATTTGTTTTTTGTACATTAAAGAAGGTGATGTGCTGACGCCTACCGTTGATAGTTTCAAGTAGGTTATCGTAAATAAATTAAAATAAAACAACCATGAGAAATAACCTACAATAGTACAACATTCAAGTACAATGCGTATCGTTAAACTATTGCGAATGTAAAAACATTCAAAAATCGAAACAAAAATGTTGAAAGTAGGCCTAAGAAAATGTGGTATGCCGCACTAATAAGGTTTATTAGGCGTCGCATTGTTCTAGGCATAATTTTTACACTTTCTCTAATTTATTGTATAGTAAGCTTTATTGATAAAGTAAGTTAATTGATTAAATTTAAAAGTGAGCACCTTTTACTATGTGTGTATATTTTGTAGGAAGATTTCCTTAATAATGATCCTCCTCCTCCGGTAAGAAGAACACAACCTTTTATTTGGCGAACATTACAAGAGCATAATTCATCTAATGATGGAGAAATTTACTGTAGAAATTCTGTGCAGGGAAAGGTGCTAATTGTGGATGATAGAGGTATATTTAGGATTCCTCAAATTTTGTAGAGTAATATTTGTTTTTTATTTATGTTTACGGTTGTCTACTTTTTATGATTTGATTTGCAGTAAATGTGATTAATTAGTATGATCCAGAAGTTTGCTCTAGCAGCTCTTTGTTTTACAATTTATGAATGATTGGTATATTTTTGCAAGGCAGGTTGTGGGCTATCATATATATCTAAATATGTTCTAATCATTGATGCTTCATGCAGCATAAATTTATTTGATTGTTTATAATCATAAGGTTACAGTAGGTAAAGACAACTCAAACAAAGCGGGTATTCTCTTGGCTGCATGAAAAGAAAAAGAAAAAAAAGAGGAAAAAAGGGGCAAAAATGTTTTCCATCACTCAATACCATTCCTCAAGTTCTATCCAAACGTGATGCTCATTCATGTTTTTGTTCAGTTTTTAAAAAACCATACAAAAAGCTAATTTTATAAACAATATATTTCTTTTGTCTGACTTTGATAATCTTAGAATTTTTCTATTTCAATTATTAATTTAGTTTTAGTAAATGATAAGATTAAATTTTGTCTTTATTTACTTTTCTATTTTTCAAGGTTTTGTTTGTCCAAGAATTGAAATTTTATCAAATGGTTGTTGCAATGAAATTTCCTCTACTGTAACTCAATATTCCTGCGAAACATGCAAACATAACAATTGCTGTGCTATTTACGAATATTGTATATCATGTTGTCTACATCCAGATAAGGTAATTTACTATTGTTTTATGATGCCAAAAATGGTATATTATAATAAAGCATATATGCACATAGGTACATATTTACTTCAGCTATTTATGATTAATTGGTTGTAATGAATGTGAATATTTTTTGTTTCTTATCATAAGTTGTCTGCAATCTTCATAGATATATCTTGAGACTGAAACCATAAGATTGGTTTACTTACCAATGTGTGTACTTTTGCTTATTGTCATATACCTAATTAGTGCAGCATTTCAACTTTAATCTTAAACTATTTCAATAGCAATATGTACTAATATAGCACAAATATACTTAAATTTATCTCTTCAATTCCCATTGTTATAGGTAATTGTTACTACAAATGTAAAGTTGTTCTGTTGAATTTAGTGGGTTCGTTATTATAATTATTAGTATGTGCATTGGCCATAAGTGCTATTAATTGTAGAAAATAACTTAATCGTAATTTATTCGCATGTTTATGGCCATATCTCGAATACAATAAGGTTGTAAATAATATTTTCTTTCATCTTTGAAACAACCGATTAAATCTTGCCAATTAATCGATATACCAAAGTATGTAATGGATTTTCTAAAAAATCACTATTCAAATTGTAGAGATTCTAAAATAAAATCAGTACTACCATTATGGCGGTAAAGTATACTTTTACTGAGATAATGTTGGCTACTTTCCTATAAAATACTTTTTTTAGTAAAAAAAAAAAACACTGCGCTTCTAGTAAGGTTTGAGGCTGTATACGAGTAAAAAAATGATGATGATTAACATATATATAATATATATAATATTTTCAGTTATTATATTCATTATCATAAGGCCGTCAGTCCTAAGACTGGTTGGACACGCACCTCCACACTTTCTTATCATGAGCTAATCTTTGCATTTCCCTAAAACTAGAACAACCCACATCCTTAACTATTTGCGGTACAGTAATCTAATCTAGGTCTACCTTTACTCCTCTTAACTCCTGTTTCTGCCTCTAATATGTCTCAGACCAGACATGAGACTATGCCTGAGAAGGTGTCATACCAACCTATTTCGCCTATTTCTTATTTATATTATCAAAAATAAATTGTAATTTAAAAATTTTCTAGGATAACTTAAAATTTAAGTGGTTTTTACAAGTTTTAACAGGGTTCGTAGGTTTGAGTAATAATGAGTAATATTCTATAATGCATGCTTACATAATACAGCAAACTCTTAAAATAGCAATAATAAGTAATTTGGTGGTGTATATATATATTACATTTTTTTAGGGCTTTTGGAAGTTGTGATGCAAAAAATCTATGAAATTTTCTTAAAACCACAATTAAATAAAGTGCTTTTCTGCTTAAATTTTAATCTGAAATGAGTGACTAAAGTAACCGTTCTGAACCTTTTAGTTTTGTTACCCCTATTTTAAAGTTTTCATAGAAAATAATAACCGCTAAGATTTTGCACTCATCGAAATCCAACAAAGGACGTTTCTTAGGCATTTTTTGATACCCCTTCCAATTAGTGCAAGCCTATTTTCTTTACGTATTTCCGTTCTTTTGATATGAGTGTTTTAAATGTGTACATGCTATTTTTGCAGTCTCGGAAATTTTACATCCACTGAATTTTCCGTGATTAGCGACATCGAAAAATGTGCTTACCAGTAGCTGTTTTATCCTCGCGGGGGTAATTGCTTCAGGTTCAGAACTCAGCGACTAGAATTTATGGGATGATTTTTGTACATTTGTCTGATTAGAAAAATAACATACTAATTGTGAACCTTTAAATTTTCATAATTGCATTTATTTTATATGTAGCATTTCCTTTTAAATTACCCTTTACGATAGTTGAAATATAATGATTAAATGTTTGCTTTTTATTTGCACATTTCAGAAAGATATGTTAGAATCGGTGCTAGGAAAGGCGACCGAACAAAACAATGTTATTTTTGCATCAGTTGCGGATCATTTTGAGCTGTGCCTTGCAAAATGCCGAACGAATTCACAAAGTGTTCAACACGAAAATTCTTACAAGGATCCCAAAGCGAAACACTGCTACGGGGATACCGACCCCGGCCCCTCGATTATTGAAAACGAAGTATAATAATAATACCAATCAACACAGGGTGATTACATTTTGTTTTGTTTTTTTTTTATTATACAATTGGAAAGTATTTTTTTAAAATTATGTTGTGATCGTTTTTTAATTTAGATAAGGAAAACAAGTTATCGCAGTAAATAACTTGAAAATTGTATTTTATATGAAAAATGAGAATTTTTATGAACGAATACAATAAGTACTTGTAGTTAATTTTTATTTAGACATTCCCAATTCACGCATAGTTGTGCATATTTTACAGTGGCTAGAAATTAACGGGGTTTTTTTACAAAAGTTAATTTTATAAATTTCGTCCTATTTTAGAGTTTTAANTTATAGAGGAAGACTTATTTTTTATGTTGGGAAGGGACTAGTTTGTTTACAAGAAAACGATTAAGTTTAAGTATGCATTATGTTACTGAATGAGATAATAAATTTCGAAAAACAATAACTGGAACAATCAGTATATAGAATATAGATTTTTTAATGCCAGTTATTTCATGTACACTTTTAGAGGTGTTCAAAGTAGAAAATGGAGGAATAAATAAACTAGAAAAGAGATTCACCCTAATTATATATCACTAAACATTTTCTCTACGGACACGTTATTCACGCATTTGTAATGTAGGCATTACAAACGCGAGACTCGCAATTAATAATAACTATGGTGACTCTCTTTTTTATTTTATGTATTTAGGATGTGGTAAACCATAATAAAAATATATGGTTCATAGGGTATTTTTAAGAATCAGATGCCAAAGTGCACAGTTTTAGTGCAATATGAAATGGTTCAAGTATCAGACTTTTTTTTTAAATTTAAATTTTGTTTTCAAATCGCAATAAAAAGAAGTTAATAGTGTCTTAACAATTATTTATTCTTAGAGACTTGTAGCTGAGGTGGTGCTACCAAACAATGCCACATAATTTTTAATTTACTTGAATTCACTAATTTAGACTATTTAAATTTATCTAATAAATAGAAAATGCGTTACAATTTTTGTGCTTAAGATTTTAGCGTTTTAATAACAGAGTTAATACAATGTGTTTCTGTTGTAACGTGTATTTTATTACTACTATGTTATTTTATGCAACACTTAGTCTATTTCTTTGTTAACTGATTAACTGTTAACGAATGATTTATTTGTATTATTCATTGTGATTTGCTATTTTTATTAAGTGAATAAATTGGGGAGTGATATATTTTTTTATTTTATTTGTGCATTAGCAGATTTCCATGACTTAGCGAGGTTTACTTACTGTATTTCGAGAACACAGCATCAGGTCGCGGCTGGTGCTTACTTTACAATAAGGCGGAAGTAGAAACTTTCTTGCCAGCACATGTACATCACATGGCTTGCTCCTTTTCTTAATGGTAAAAGATAACACATAGCTGATGATTTTTATTACTATACGTAAATTCCGCCCGATATATACTTTCTTAAGGGGGGTGGTAAATGTAATAGGGTGGTTTGAAAATCTTACTAATATAACATTATTTTAAAGTCTATTGTAGCAGACAATCAAACTAGTACTATTCGCAAGTCGAATAAGAAAACTGCCCATATTTCTGAAGGAAAAGCTGCCTCCTCAGATATATAATTTTATTGTATACAAGCCAGCCGCTGCTTAGCGGGGAACTCGTAGATGAAGTGGTGAAGGGTCGGTAGGAGAGGGATGTATGGCCGTGGCTGGAGAGAGACACTACTGTATAGATCTTTATAATCCAATAAGATATAAGAAATAAAACACTTGGTACACTTTTGTTTCACAGTTTATTTAGAACACTCTAACAATTGTTTGTTTGTTTTCATTCTCTTTGATAATGGTTTAGCAGCCGAAACAATTGTTAGAGTGTTCTAAATAAACTGTGAAACAAAAGTGTACCAAGTGTTTTATTTCTTACATCTTATTAAATATGTTTCACCAAGTGCCTAGCCAAGAATTTCTTACATATTTATAGTTTAAGCTTAAGTTTATAGTACTACTACCCCGCCCTAATCTTGAAAATGCCAATTTTACGATATGCCCCGCCCTCTTAAAAGTTTAGCACCGTTTAAAATGCAGGAGAGGGGAATGCTTCCCCTCCACCACCAAATCATTATTATTAACAATTTCGACATTTTTAATATCCTATGTCCTTCGTTGTATCATTAAGAACACCCTGTAAAAATTTCATGCAAATCGGTACAGTAGTTTTCGCGGTTAGTGAGTTCAACTAGTGAGATAATCACAAATATCATTCACTCGTCCATTTTCCTGAAGGTTATTAAATAATTAGTGTCTAAGATATGAGAGTCCAAAAAAACAGGTAACAAAATTTGCTACCTCTGACTTTGTTCTATACGCAGTGGAAAGGTTAAGAGATTGGCAACCTTTTATCCTCAATTTACTCAAAACAGATTGCATTGCAGTATGAATTGCTTTCTCGAAATTCACAAAAAATGTTTGTGGTGAAAGAACATCTTAGTCCTGCACATTCAACAACAACACGCTTAAAGCATTTAACATAGGTCTCTGCAGTTTTATTAGGAAGCATAAAAATAATTCAAGAGGCATATACGAGGGTGGATTGATAAGTTTCCGGCCTAACCAAGAGATGACGCCACTAGGCCTACCTTGAGGTGACATTCTATAGTACCATCCTTGGATAGCTTGTAGCTATAGTTTCAGCCCGATCTCCTTGCTAGTGTAGGTTTGACAGCACGCTGAACAAGACGCCTCTGTGGTTTTCGTAAAAATGGAAAAGCAGGAAAATCGTGCTGTCATCAAATACTTTTATTTGAAGGGGTTAACGCCGAAGATGGACTCAACACTGGGGACATCCTCCCCGTCATATTCAACCGTTAAGCAGTGGGTTTCCGAGTTTAAAAAGGGTCGTGTGAGCACCTCTGATGGGCCTCGCTCAGGACGCCCCGTTGAGGTCACAACTCCAGATATGATCGAAAAAATTCATCAAATAGTGCTGGGAGACCGCAGATTGAAAGTGCGTGAGATAGCTGAGACCTGTAAGATGTCATATGAACGTGTGCAACATATTTTGCACCAACATTTGCATATAGAAAAGCTCTGTGCAAGATGGGTGCCGCGTTTGCTAACAGTCGACCAAAAATTGATTCGAAAAAACATTTCTACCGCAAATTTGTCATTGTATAAGCGTAATCCAAGCGAATTTTTGCGTCGATTCGTAACCGTTGACGAAACGTGGGTTCACCACTACACTCCTGAAACCAAAGAACAGTCTAAACAGTGGATTGGACCAGGGGAACCAACTCCAAAGAAGGCAAAAACAATTTTTTCGGCGAACAAGGTTATGGCTACTGTTTTTTGGGATGCAAGAGGTATTATATACATTGATTACCTTGCAAAGGGTAATACTATCACTGGTCAATACTACGCAGACTTATTGCAACGTTTGAGCCACGAGGTGAAAATTAAACGACCTCATCTGGCGAAGAAAAAAATCTTGTTTCATCACGATAACGCACCAGCGCACACGTCAATCGTTGCGACGGCTAAAATCAACGATCTAAAGTTTGAATTGATGCCGCACCCTCCTTACTCTCCAGACCTAGCCCCGAGTGACTATTTTCTGTTCCCTAATCTCAAAAAATGGCTTGGCGGTAAGAGATTTGCGGACAATGAAGAAGTAATCGAAGCTGTAAATGGTTATTTTGAGGAGCTTGACGAATCAGTCTATAGAGATGGCATTAATAGACTGGAACACCGCTATGAGAAATGTATCAGCCTTGGAGGAGATTATGTTGAGAAATAAAAAAAAAAAATTTTTAAAAACCTTGTTTTTCTTGGTCAGGCCGGAAACTTATCAATCCACCCTCGTATATGTGTAAAGTAAATATTTGGGATAGCTTTTAAATGTTCCATCCAGTTAAACGTTGGTCGCACTGTAAAGCACATCTGCACCCCCGACGGAATTTACGTGCTTTTAGAAGGTCATTAGTGTATTTAGAATTGAATTTACACTAACTCGTGTTTCAGTAAAAAATTTATTCACTTGGGGTTTAAATGATAGTTGATTTAAATAAGTGTATGAAAGAAGAATGTTAGGTAGGGAGCAAGAAGTAGAGATCTAACAATTGTGCCGATTTTTACAAATAAAAAATTTAACGTTTGTTTCGTTTTGACATTGCAAATCATTAAATATTTCAAACTATAAAAAATAGTCGATTTTAGACGTCATATTTTAAAAATTATTCGATGTAAAAAATACGTTGTTTTCCTATTTGTGTTTAGGTTTATGTTTATTCTATCTTAATGCACTCTACTTCATGCTGTCCTTTATCTACCCCAAAGTGAATTTCATCTCCTCTAACATAAGCCCATGGCATGCTACATGCGTTGAAGTACACACCTACATCTCCTTTTCTTGAAATAGCAATTGCACCTGAAATTTTTTTTATTTATGACTAGATTCAATTGTATCATCGTCCAAGAGAAATTTAATTGGGAAAACGTAATAAACGCCTGAAAATAAGGACCGTAATTACCTGCAGTAGAGTCTAATCTCCCTTTCAATTTTTCGATTCTTGATTTTGTTGCTGTATTTGCGGATTTACCTTTTTCCATGTCTCTGCAAATTTTATGGGCTAAAGCAAATCTCATGATATTTTCGCCAAAACCTACGACAATAAATATATTTAAAATAAAAGTAGTGGCTAGGAAAACATTATAGAGAAACAAGAAAATAATTTAATATTAATAAACATCATTATAAAAAAAAAACCTGAAAATTTTGTTCACAAATAAAACAATTATAAAATAGACTACAACCAGACCTGTACAAGACACGCCTCCTGCAGCGTTATCGGCATAAGTTCCACCTCCAATTTGCGACGAATCTCCGATTCTGCCAGGCATTTTCCCCGTCAACCCTCCTGTTGATGTAGCTGCAGCTATATTACCATCTTTATCTATTGCAACAGCTCCAACAGTGCTCCCTTTAGCGTGCACCTTTTTTGAAAAGAATGAAAATTAATAACATATATTTCAGTTTTAGAGTGCGAGATGATTGTTCAACCAGCTCACGAGTGCGCGGCTTAAAGGGACGCCATAAGGATACATGTATCTTCGTGAACTTTTTGCACTTTTTGTTGGAGATGAGTATTTCGCGAGTACCTTGTGTGTATATATGTATACGATCGTCAGTGATATCAAATGAAATGTGAACATATGTCTGTATGTTGAGAAACTCTAAAAAAATCCACTTGACTAGGTCAGATATATTTTGAGTAAAATCTAAAATCACTGAGCAACACTTAAGACTCGCGCAATAAGACATCAGGGACTTTTAGTAATCAGTTCATAGTTATTCTAAAATTTCTAAAATAAACTCCAACTAAATTATTGCTCAAAAATGAACTGTTAAATAAAATAACGCACCATAAACTCTGCTCCGGTTTTTTTAAATTTTTCCAAATCTTCTTTTGCTTTTTCAGTAACTAAACTTCCGGATGCCAATATTGGTACGCCATTACTTGCAGCAAACTGTTTTACGCCTTCATCCGCGAGGATAACGTGATTAGTTTTTTCTGCGACAAGCCGAGCTACACTATTAAATGGAAGTAGAGTATATGAGGTAGTATTTACATTAGTTGGTAAATAAGAGTGAATACTTCTGCGGCTGCTAGTATAGAGTGCAGGTAATTATTAATGAGCATTTTCAATTAAAAGTACCATAAGTAAAATTTAATTAAGTAGGAAATTGTTTTAAAAATTGTTTACTTGAAAAATCTGAATTGGATCTAAATGCTTTTATTTAGATTGGATTTAATATCTTAGGTACCAAAAACTAACCTTATAGGGTGAGCAATGTCTTTACATATTGCTACACCTCCTGCTGACATGTCTTTACCAACCATTATACTAGATTCCATTTCGACATCTCCTTTACAAGTTAAAGCTGATCCAATTCCTGAAAAATTACAGAAATGCACAATTTAATTAATATTATTACTGTAATACAAATATAATTTACCTGCGTTAAAATGTTTGTCATCTTCCAATACATTTACAGCACTTTCGACGGCCTGTACAACCGATCCTGTACACAGTAGTGTCCTATAGCCTTCTAAGGCTGCTGATTTTATACCTTGAATGACTCCATCGAGCATACACTCTTCTATTTTCCCTGCTCCACCGTGAACCAGTATAGTTGGTTCCATTGTTTAGCGATTAAAAGAAAACTAATCAAAATACACGAAAAGACAGAATTTTTTATTACACAACAGTCGAGATTTGACACTTTTGAACAAAAACTTTTTTTGAAGTGTCTTTTAACAATTTGTGGTTCCTTTGATTTTATATTTTGTTACAAAAAAATATACAGGTATCTATAGGTATTTTAATGTATATTAAAATTCCTGGTACAGAAATATGTAATATAAATTAGTAAATTAGCTAATAGTGATAATTAATAAATATAAAATTGGAGATCAAAAATAAAAAGTCGATTTTCAAGATCTAGGAAGTCAAATAAGTTGGGATGGAGTAAGGGGTATAGACATAAAATAAAGAATAGCGCAGAGTTGACTTGCTTTTAACAAAAACAAATTACTTGTGCTCGTTAACAAATAATTTAGAAATCCGAAAAATAATAAGTGTATTTTTGGAGCACTCTTCTGTACGGGTACGAAACGTGGACGATGGGTGCAAAAGCTTTTGAGATGTGGTGCTATGGCAGGATAAAGAAAATTCCACGGATAAAAAAGGTTAGAAATGAAGAGGTGTTAAAAAAGAGTAGGATAACAGAGGGAGCTATAAAAATCAATTTAAAAAGGAGAAGTAGCAGGACAACTTCTGAGACGTAAATTAGAAACAGAAACAGGAATAGGAGTAGAGTGGTAGAGGAAGACCTAGTTTAGAATACGATTTGCCTAATTATGTGGGAGGTTCGAGTTTCGGGAAGTGCGAAGATTGGCCAAGCAAAAGAAGCGGAGGTACCTGTTCAACCAATCTTCGGACTGAGTAGACCATGGTGATGATGATAATTTTGCCTATTAAGGATATTATTTGGCATTAAATGCTTTAGAAATCAACCCATATATTTAAATAGCACATGCTCGCAGAGGAGAGAAAGTTAATGGAAAAGCAAAGAAAGAACAAAAATATATATATATTTATTGCTTTGTAGAATATCAGACACGTAAATAGTAACATTTATGGATAAAGTGCATATATTGTTGGTGTTTAAATTTCGTCTTCCACACATTCTACTTCGTGTTGACCCTGCTCTATACCAAAATGTAGTTCTGAGCCTTTAACATAAGCCCATGCCATTCGTTTACTGCTAAAACTTATGCCTACTTCTCCTATTTTCGATACGGTTATAGCACCTGTGAACATTCGTACACATTTAGAAATAATTTAACAAATTTATAATGGGATTAAACAAGGAATAGATTTCTCTAACATTTTAACGGCATATTTTGTAGTCTTTAAAATAAGCAGTAGGTACAACAAAAATAACTGAAAATCGAAAATATCTGTTTTGACTGGAAACAATCCAACTTTATGCAAATATTCAAGTTTTTAATTTTGTGGTTTTTTTGTATACTTTTATCAAAATAGTTTTTGTTCTTTGTTGTAATTATTCACCTGCAGTATTGTTAAGTCTTCGGGTCATTTTTTCAACAGATTCTTTAGTTGCCAGTCGTGCTGATTTACCATTTTCCATATCCTTACAAATACTGTGTGCTAAGCAGAATTTAAGGATTGTTTCGCCGTGCCCTTGAATGTTTTAATCTTAAGAATTTGTATGTGATAAGCAGAAGGTACATGAAAAAGTTTAAAATATATAATAACCTGTGGTTGACACAGCTCCACTGTTGTTATCAGCGTATGATCCACTTCCGATTTGAGATGTGTCACTGACCCTTCCGGGCATTTTCCCATTTATTCCACCCGTTGAAGTAGCAGCAGCGACATTCCCTAAACCATCCACTGCTACTGCTCCCACTGTACCCACTTCTCCGGCATTTTTTGGCTAAAGTAATAAATATTCAAAAATCAAATTTTAAGGACTTACAATTTTTGATTCAATGCTGCGTTTGAATAATATTTTAATTTTTTATACCTTAATAATCCCTCCTATTTCTGTCAATTGGCCGCCGTGTTGTTTATAATCTTCCAATGCTTTTTTTGCAAAATCTGTCACCAAAGCTCCTGGTTCCAAAATCGGAATGCCTTTAGATTCAGCAAATTTTTGCGCACCCTCTGCAGAAAGAATTACGTGCGGGGTTTTTTCCATTACAAGACGAGCTAAGCTGAACAATAATTAATGTAAAAACATTAATGCATTTTTTAAATTAATCAATGATTTTTTTATTGATAAATCACGAATACTTTTATACAAAATATTGAATAAAACAATTAACTTCTTTTTATTATAATTAACATACAATCATGCTACCATTTCAAAATTTTGCCAATTTAGAATTCCCTTTGAGAACGTCTAGAAATGCTCTGTTTGATAAATATTATACGTTTTAGTTGGTCATTGACCTTTCTATAAATAAATTTATTATACATATAGTTTGTTGAATGCGTAGAATTAAATACTAAATTCTATATTATATTAAATTACATACACTTTTCTAAATAGTTGAATCAAGAAATAAATTTCTTTTCAAATGAATAAAATTTTTGTAAAATTATTAGTGTTTAAATTTATAATAAATGATACTAAATGGAATTTACCTTATAGGATGTGATATGTCTTTGGTAATTGATATAGCTCCAGCATTTAAATCTGAGCCAAGCATGATACTAGCATCCATTTCCACATCCCCATTTAAATTTAAAACAGATCCATAGCCTGAATATTTTAATTACGTAACAATACCATTATTTTATATAAATATTTTTTACCTGCATTAAAATATTCATCATCTTCCATTAATCTAACGGCTGATTCCACAGCGTCAAGTACTGAGCCCCCATTTTTTAGTGCCTTGTATCCTTCCACTGCTGCTAATTTGACACCCTTAATTTTACCACTGACTCTGTCATCAGTAATATCTCCAGCACCACCATGAACAAGTACCACAGGATCCATGTTTCTTTCACAGTAGTAAATAAGTTGTACTGTATAAAACGATTACATATACATCACGCTTTATCCACTGGTGAAAGCCAAGTTTTTAAGTGGTTTGGTATAGTCTGCGGTCAATTATTATATAAACGGCTACACAGGTCTTTTTCATGCATTTATCAAGGCAAATAATTTTTTATTTTGACACAGAATTTTGATGTACGTTGACATTATATGTACTTACAAATATTGTCTTGAATTATTTATCACTAGGAGATAAAATAAGTTTGTGTACATGATAAAAATTTACTATAAACGGGAAACGTAAGTTATTGCACCCGAACACAATTTCTACAGACTATTGATAAAACAGTTACAAAGCAATTGTTCATTATGTTTAATGTTTAAGAAGAAAATATATTTCTACTCAACATTGGACAATTGAGTGATTGAATTATTTAACTTTTTATATTAGAAATTTTTTTGCAAATTCGTAGAGTAACAAACTTTCATTTTCGTGTCATTAGCAGTAGTTACTAAAGTTGTCGAAATGTTGAAATTATATACTCTCAACTACACTCCTGTTTCAATAATTATGTCTTTATATATAGTGGTTTTTGAGAATTTTTTACAAGATAATATGTATAATATTCCCATTTTTACACAATATATAGAAAATTTTCGATACTCATTTAGGAAGGCAGATAATATAAATCAGGATGAAAAAAGCAGTAGACATATATATAATAAATAGAGCAAGACCAAATCGCTTTTAAAGTCTCTTTTCTGACCGCGAATGGTTAATTTGAAAATTCTAGACTGTAAATAAGCATACTGAGCACATTTTTGTACGGGTGCGAAACGTGGACGGTGAACTGGTGGAAAGGAAAAAGACGCATTTGGGATGTGGCGTTATGACATTAATAAAATACCGTGGATAGTAAAGATTACAAATGAGGGGGTATTAAAAAAAGTAAGAGAATAGAGGACGGTCTGGGAGTTAATAATGAAAAGGAGACGTAGGATAAGGATAGGATGGTAAAACGTTCTCGGGAAGATTGACTAAGGACAAGAAGGTGTAAGTGCGTGTACGTAAAACCAATCTTTGGATTGACGTCCTCAGGGTGAAGATACAGCAAAAATAAAAACCTCTTACTTCAATTGTTTGTAGTCCCATTAATCTCATACAAAATTAAATACAAACTACAATAATTAAAATTTGCTTGTAGAATTATTTTGTATTTTTTAAACAACTTTATTATCCAATGAATATAGTGACAGTTTATAAACAACTTCCGTTCTTAGCCGCTAGACTTAAGGCTATTTATCCATCATTTCTGTATGATATAGGTACAGTAATAAATAAAAAGGCGGAAAATTAGCAACCAAAGAGCAAATTTTTTCAAGTTCGCGTTCTGTTTTTTCTGTTAATAGTGCTCCTTCGAAATTCTTCTCCATCAGGAAAATACAAAATCGAAACTTAAACGATTAAAAGTGAACTTAACGCTGTGAAATTAATATATCACAATTCTTCTTATCATTTAATATATACAAATAGATAATAAAAACAGTTTCGTGAAACCCGATTCATTAAAGGCAATAATTAATTCGTGTAAGACAATATATTTCGGCTGTTGGGAAAAAAATAAAATGTCGTTGTTGATAAGTTCTTTATTTTTTAATGAATCTGGCTGCACTTTTCTTTCCCCTTCCATGTTCTTATATCTGAATTATTTTCAATTAAAAAAATACATCATAATATTCGTATAGTGCGTTGTGTTAAAAAAAAAAAAATAACAAATATCTTTCCTCTACATTTTACAAAATAACAACGTAACGTTCACGTTACAGTTTCATCTTCCGTGTTGTTTATAATCTTCCAATGCTTTTTTTGCAAAATCTGTCACCAAAGCTCCTGGTTCCAAAATCGGAATGCCTTTAGATTCAGCAAATTTTTGCGCACCCTCTGCAGAAAGAATTACGTGCGGGGTTTTTTCCATTACAAGACGAGCTAAGCTGAACAATAATTAATGTAAAAACATTAATGCATTTTTTAAATTAATCAATGATTTTTTTATTGATAAATCACGAATACTTTTATACAAAATATTGAATAAAACAATTAACTTCTTTTTATTATAATTAACATACAATCATGCTACCATTTCAAAATTTTGCCAATTTAGAANATGAGTCGAAAAAAGTGAATTCCTTTGTATATGTATATTGGGTTTAGTTAAGGACCTTTTTTGAATTAAATTAGTAGCAAATTTTTATGTTTCTACTAGAAGTAATAAAAATTATGCTTTAAGAAAATTATTTTGCATCCTGATTGCTCTTTTCTTTATTTTTATGAAACACTGAAAAAGAACAAATATTTTGTTCATTTATGTACATACGATTTTTTAAGCAAAAATTTAAATAAAAATTTGTTATATCGACAGTTTATTTAAAATTATTTCACTTTTTTCAAATCTCAGTAAAATATACCCTCTTTAAAATGTTTTTATTGCTTTATAAGTAACGGGAAACATAGTAGTGACTAGATAGTAGCATGAGTTAGATTTAAATGAAGTTTAAGCCTTTACATCAGAAGGGTTTGCAAAGGATCGCTGATAATATTGTAGATAAAATTTCATTTTGCCATGCCCAAAATAAATAAAATCAAACAACCATAAAATAATGACGCATTTGTGAAGTACTACAAGTAGTGAACCAATTAAATAAAAAGCATTAACGGAAAAAAAATAGACTACAATTTGCTTAACGACATAATTTGTTAAGACCTTTTTATACGCATTAATATTAATTTTTTCTCTGACTACAGCTGTAGATTTTTTTTGAAGACATGCTCAAACGGATTTGCAGTTTTTTAAAGAAGCACCTGGTGTTATTGTCCAAACTACAATAACGTATAGTGTGTGTTTAATAAATGAGAAACGAGATATTTAAAAAAATCATTGTATGTAGTCATAATATTAGTCTTAAAAACACGGTTGTTCGTAGTGGACAATTGCAGATAAAACAATAAAAACCTTGCAGCTATGTATGTTTACGGAAGTTGCAATCATTCACAGGCCATCTCTATGCCAAACCCACGATTTTTTGGTGTGCTCGAACCTGTGAGCCAGCCATTGTTGCTCCAACAATTGGTATCGATCCTTGCTAAGATATAAAGGTTTACCGCGTCTAAAATCAAATTTAAATTAACAATATAAACAACGATTCAGTCCCGAATATCAAAAAAAAGAAAACGGTTTTTATAATTAAGTTTTATGAGAAATTATTTTTTTTTTAATTTATGGCTATAATACATATAGATGCAAACGACGATTGGCGAAGTGGAAAAGAAAAAGTTGAAAGCGTTTGAGATGTGATGCTATAGGATGATGAATATACCGTGGATGGAAAAGGTTAGAAAGGAGGAAGTATTGGAAAAAGCAAGAGAACAAACAGAGAGCGTTACGAAGGTTTTCGATGGAAATTGTCTCAGGATAAGAAGGCGTGGTGTGCGTGTTCAACCACTATTCAAACTGATGACATTGTGATGATAATCATAATGATTTTTAGTTCACCAATGACATTGCTACAGATATAACGTGGAAGGTAATCTGCAAACTCTGACTGAAAGGGAGGAAAGTGAAATAGGCGAAAATATAAGAATGGGTATTGAAATGGTCTCTACTATTTTTAATTGTACTGACAATGAATATTGTCTTTGTTTATACAGATATTCGTACCTATATCGTCTTTCATGGTTAGTTACAAAAAATATGTTTTGGCACTTTCCACATATCACCTAATTTTTGGTAGACATATGAAATAAAAATTTAGGCGAAGATATAAAACAAAATTATAAAAACATTCATTTCAAAATATTCACAGCAGGAAATAGATGACGTACTGTAGTCCAAGTTCTTTTTTACTAAAAGTTGCGTCAATGTTTTATTCACAGGAATAGAAACGTGTGTAATATTAAGTAGTCTCTAACCGCTTTCTATATTATTAACTATATATAATGATTAACTATAAATAATACGTTTCTTAAAAAAAATTGTCAAAATTCAAAGGTTTATTACCGTACACTTACTTTAAATCACGATCTTCCTCTTCAAAATCATCGAGATATAGCGAGCCCCATAGACAAGCCCTTCGGCCTCTTATCACGATTATATAGGTCGAGGTGACGACTAGGAACACGCCTGTGCCGGCCCCGCATTCTCGCGAATGCGCAACCGCTTCGCACACATCTTGTTGCTTACAACAGCTCTGTTTTAAACAAACGATTGTGCCACACAAAAGACAAATGCTCGTCTCCTGTGGTACCGAGTGGCACTGGCTACACGGCCTCTCGTGGTAATACTGAAAGGTAATATTACAATGAATTTTACGACTACATAATAACGCTTATTATGTAGTTATATTCATTTGATTATACCACTTCTTCAAATTATATGGATTTAAATAATTATTCGTTTATTTTTTTGAAGTTGTACTTCTTTTGAGACGTTGAGAGTAATATTTTAGCATGAAACTAACGAAAATGTTAGCGGGCATGTGGCTTGAGTTCAAGCGCAATATTAGAACTGGTGGTCTGGTATTGGTTGTACCCAACACTACACCGTGATATTTAAATGCGTAGTCGAAGATATTGTTTAAATAAATACATAACTATTGTTATTGTTAAATAAACATGTAAACAGAAGTACAACTTCTAACACGTTTTTATAAGTACACATTATCGTTTTTATCATTAGGTTGGTATCTAGCATTGCTTTTTGTATATATAAGTCTACTGGATATCCTCTGTACATATACTTTGTTATCATGTATGAATTTTTATGTTTTCATGCAAGAAAAAAAATAAATAAATTACTAATTCCTCTATAATTCTGCATCCTAAATACTAAATTAATTTTGGCGACCTAACTGTTCAAATCTTTTGAGATTAAACAGCTTTTTCTCAATAATAAACTTTTTTAGGGTAAGAGAGTTATTATGGGTTAGTTGATAATTATACTAAATATCTATTTTACTCATTATTTTGTTTTTTGAAATATAAGAGAAAAATGGAATTTACATTCTTTACTTTCTTAAATGTCTTATAAATAGCTCACATAAAAAACTCAAAAAATAAATAGTATATAAAAAAATCTTACCGTGAATATTTTTTCGTACTCTCTGGGCAACTGAAGCAACCGCGGAGGATGCCAGCTAATATGCTGGTCGACAAGAAAGGATCTTGAAGCGATTGGGCTTTTTGAGGTAAAACTAGCCATCTGCGCACACCACATTCGTGGTGATATTATGTGCATATCGGTGTTGGTTGGCCAATTAAGGGCCACGGCCGCGTTGAAACATTCCCAATCCATGCCTTCGGTTACAAGTTCCAAGTAGTAGACCAGACGAACGAATTCGCTTTGGGGAGTGCGTATATCCGGCAATGACTGATTGTAGACGTGATGTCGAAGGAGGGAGGCGATTCGCAAGAATGGTAAACACAACTTTTGAACCTGGGAAATAATACTTTATTTTTTATCACGAAATTACTTTCTATAGAATAGTAAGAGGCAATACATACAATAGAAATTGAATAAGACTTTATGAAAACGGAACAAGATTTAATTTAAAGATTAAGCATGGTTGAACTTTCAACTATTAATTTAAACTAAGTGATTAATTTTTGACAATAATTTCTTAAATTAAGTATCAAATAATCAAATTTAAATTATTGCCATTTTTACTAAAATGTTATGACTGTTTTATCACTGACCTGTTGCTCGAGAGCAATCAAGTTAACCTGGAGATTGGTGCTACAACTGGGTTCGTCATCATCCATGTAAAGATCGGAACGTCCCAAACATTCATTGATTAGTGCAAGGGCACTTGATAGGGATGCAATTCGACCAGAGGCGACATTTTCACACGCTTTGGCTCGTTCCGCCCCTGTTAAGCCACACGATACCTGCGCCACTACTTGATAATACAATAAGTTGTACATCATTTTTACTACTGTGGTGAAGTACGCTGGAACAAAATTAATACTGAAAATATACGTTTTTATTTACATTAAATACTATTCATGTGCTAAGAGTTTTAATAAATGGACAGGCAGAATGATACAAAATTTATTTAAGTATTTATTAAAAACAAACTACTTACATTGATCCAAATGAAGAGGCAATAGAAGAACGAATTGCAAGAGCAAAGCAACTGGATCTCTAAGTAGTAAAGGAACTTCTCGTTCGACGGGCGCGAGAGACATTGAAGAAGAGGGAGCCGAGGGTAAACCACAGAGCTGTTGGAAGGTCATCCATGCCGGCCACAAAGCCAAAACACGGGCATGGACAGCAAGAACATGAAGTAATGGTACTGCAAAATAATAATGAACATAATATTTTACAAATCAAACATTTGAAAATCCATTTAGGGATCATAATATTAATTTACCTATACAGTCCCTTTTTGGTAGTAAGGGATTTGGTGGCTCATTTGCATTTATCACAAGACTGCCACCCCTTTGAATCAATTCCACCTCCAGATTGGTGCGAGCTATAGAAGTGACAAAGAGGAATAGGCTCTGGTGACTAGGCTTGTCACCTTTTGGCTTGAACATGGGTTTCAGTTGCGTGCTACTTGTCATGTCTTCCATTGCTTTACCCATTGCTTCTGATAACTTAGTAGTATTCTGTAAGAATTTTTTTTTCTATTTTACCAGAGCAAATGAGGTACGACAACTAACTAATTAATGGTACTTTTGTACATTTATCAAAGTGTGTATTACAATATAATAAAAAACAAAAGTCTTACAGGCGTTTGTTCGTTTTCTTTAAGAAAATCACTAAGCTCATTGAGAGCGTCAGACATACTGGTAGGCCGTGATCGCACCATCTGAGAGCAATCTCCTAACTGGGGTGACAGGGGAAGTACAGAATTAGCTAATTGTCTACATAATGGACAGAGGTATTCGCCACTAAAATAAAAACGGTCGACATAAAAGCAAATCTCATCAACATATATTTTACAAAATTTTCACATACTCATCAGGCGATAAACTTTGTTGTCTTTGCTGTGCTAACGAGTGCAAATATGACTCTAGACAATCCAGATGAAGATGATGTCCACATGTTTGAACATGGACTCCGCCTTCCCAACCAATATTTATAGACAGCAACCAGGAAGGCTATGAAAAGAAGGTCAAATTAATACAGCAATAATTTTTTATTAGATGGTAGAAGGTTAACTGACCGAGTCAAAATATCGGTTCAATTCTTCTACCCTTCTGTCGAACTCGCAAGTCAACGTGTCATCCCTTCGGAAATGCTCCCGTTCTTCGTCACAGGTAGGCAATGTCGCCCTTTCGTTTCCGTGGCCTTGGCGTCGCCGATGTCCTATCACGCTTGTGGTCTGCACGAGTACGACTAACCCCATTGGTTTGTCATCAGTACTTGGAGTACTCTGATTACAAATCACGCAGTCGTACTCCTGCTTGCTTATCAGAATATTCTCGTCGTTTTTCCAGTCCATACCTAAATAATTATTTTTAATGTTTAATTTTCATGTCTTTAGACAAGAAAGTTTAAAATTAATTTACAATTCATCACTCTATAATATTTTTTTTTGCTCGTAAGCTATTCCACATTAAAATCGTATTCACATGATGTGTAACATGTAACCTTGGCAACAAACAAACGCAAATTACTATATGGCAATGCAATATGTTGTTAAAAATCAATATTAGCAGACCGAACGGTTGACAGTTGTCTTCCTTCTCCCTTTTCCTTGTTCTTTAGGCAAACGCCAAATGTAGACAGCATTGATTAAATAGCGCGCGCTTCTCTTTCTTAATTCCGGTAACGCGTTTCCGTCGCATTCACGAAATCACTTTCATAGTTTCACATACGTATATACCGAGATGTACGATATTACATATCAAAAAGTAGGAGATGTTACCTACAAAGGCTATTGAACAGTATTAATGCGAGACTTACTTGTGGCACTTGCTTCGGTCTCCATTTTTTCCATGAACTGTTTCTGTCTAGAAGCAAACTCAGCCATAAGTTTCTGCTGTCGTTCTTTCGCCCTTCGCCTTCTTTCTTCCCGTTCTTTATCTTCCCTACGCTTTTGCTCCTCTTCACATTCCGATTGCGGAGGCCACAACTTCAACCTGGTTTCCTATACAGATACAAACAATAAAGTTAATATATGTATAGGTTTATACAATATTTGATGTTTTCGAAGACTTACTTGTATACAATTTTTACATGTACTATCTAACGCGGATATTTTTTGAAGTAATTTGGTTACGAAAAACGGTCCATCACCAATAACACCGAAAGAATCAGACGTGCTCGAACTTGCTTCCACTTCTTCTGGATTGTAACTATCTGGTATTCCAGATAGTTGAGAATGTAACTTTAATAGCAAGGAGATTATACTTTCGTTGATTTTTATACTAGACGGATTCATACTTTTACCCTAAAAAATTAAAACAGTTTGAAAACGGAATAGAATAATAAGACAAAAAAGTTACCTCTACTTGTCTTCTTTTATAGTGGTAATGGTAATTCTTTCGATGACCAGATCCGGACGGAACGAGTTCTGTACTGGTGTTTGTTCCACTATTTTCCGCATTCCAATTAGGCGGTCTTCCAACTTCGTTGCCAGCTAGTATTGCGAGATGCTCTGTGAATGTCGTTGGTAGTGGATGTTGATCTTGAATCGTTGGAATACCTTTTAATAAACATAAAAATTTAGGTGCCTATAGGAAATAATGTTTTACAAATTTAACGTACTAGGTGTGGATGTGACGACGCTCATGTCTTGTGGTACAGCAACAGTCATAGAAGTATCGCCGTCAGAAGTTGTTGAAGTTGAAGGACCCAGTAACATTCTTGGATAATAGGTGTCTGAATAATACAATTCTTCAGGATTACGTCTCTGTCGCCTACTTCCCTCCTCTAACATAAGTACGTCATACGCTTCTTCGGCTGACATATCTGACATCTCGTTGTCGACTTCTAAACCTTCCCATTCACTATCACCTTTTGAAATTGCCAAAAAGAACAAATATTGCTTTATTAATATACAGATATCATTATATCCACTTACTTTCTGAACTATACGCTATAGGAGACACTACAGGGTCAGGCTTTAAAATAACACGGTTGATAACGGTTTGTAGATTTTCTGTGAGGCAATCAGTCTTAAACCAGTTTGAAAGATCCATGTCATGCATCTGTCTCTGACTTTGACCAGGGGCACTTTGGCACATTTTAAAGCTCTGTAAATAGTGTAAAAAATTGTTTTTCACTTTATCTTTGTTACTCTACATTGTACTAACCTCGTCGCCCTTTTCGCAAACTTCCACAGCCATTTCCAACAAGAAAATTATTAGGGCTATCACATGTTCGCTTATTTGACCCTTCACAGCTTTATATAGTACCACAAATGCGATGGCATGGAACACTTTAGATTGCAAAATTTTGCGGGGATCTTCGTAGGCAACGGATGTGGGAGCAGGTTGCCTGAAAGGTGGCCAAGGGCTTGTTCCTGGCTTTAGTTTATTCGCTTGTTTAGCACTAAAAATGTGAAAATTTTTATCTTATGTATTCTGCAGCAATATTAACATTTCCATCATAAGTAACATAAAAGTAAGTGCACTTACTATTCCGTAAACCTGTCCATTGACGTTTGAAAATCCCTCCGATGTACTGCCCTCAGAAGAACCTGTATAGGATCGTATTGATTTTCCCAGACTGATGTTTTCGGTACGTACATTCCTTGTTGCATGTTCCCGGTTGCTTCAAGAGCAGGAGCTCGATAATCGGCCACCTCTGCCAACAATGATTCAAAGTCGCGACTCTGGGAAGTTCCACACCTTTCTGGCATTAACTCCATAAGTTGTGAATGCGTTTTATCACCCATGCATAGTAACGTTATCATTTCGAGGCGATTCAACTCCGTTTCTGATAAACCTGGGTATAGTACGATTAGAAATATAAAAGAAATGAACTATTTAATATAAAAATGAACTAAACAATTATTGTTTTTTGAGACATTACCTAAATTAGTTCTAACGCTGACCAGGGTTGCGAGAAATGTCAAAAAACTATCTAACATGGGCGTGTCGTGGACTCCATACAACAGGGCGTTAACAGGAGACTGTTGAGGAGCTATACTCATAAAACCATTTATTCGGAACCTATTTAGGAAAAATATACTTCATGGTTTAGCTATTGTCATATTTATTCATTTATAGAAAAGAAATGTTTGTTTTCAAAATTAAATAGTTCAAAAGTTTCAGACACAAGAATATTGTTCTGACAATAATAGCGTGGATACAGCGCCTCTTCTTTTAAAGTGACCATTAACAAGCCGAATTCTCGTAAGGGGCTTGCTTTATATTGACGAGTCTTTCACTTCCCTCTTTGCCAAAATTCTTGATAGAGGCGCTGCATCTTAGACTGTTCTGGACTTTATTATTGAACTGCTTAGGTATACATACGTATACGTAGTATTTGAATGAATTATGTATCTCCTTAATTTGGTTTAAGACTGATAAGATTTAAATTACAGACCTCTACATTTTCATGGTTTATGAGGTCATTTTATTGCGTAGCGATATTATTTATGTAAAATAATGAAGTAAAAACAGAATCATTCTGTGATAATGAATCCATTGATTTCAAAACAAAATAATGAGATGACTTCACTGTTTGTTTGCGATATGAAACGTATGAGTATTAAAATAAGAAAACTAACTTGTCTATGAGAATGGTGAAAAAGAAATCCATTGGAATGCGGGTACAACATATTTGCAATAAATACAAATCAGCGTCAACCATTGAATTACAAAAATTACATTGAATATATGTCATGGCTTGTCCTTTTATTTGGAGACCGTTTCGAACCCATAGCCCATTTAAAATTTCGTAAAACGCAACCTGAAACAAAAAAAATATATATTTTATAAATCAACTTTGTAATTTTATTTACTCGTTGTTTTTGTGGGATAATAACGATGACAAAATTTTGGAAAAGTCTCTTTTTGGTAATCTTACACATATGTATTTTATTTAAAATTCTAATTGAAACAATTGAACAAAAATAAGCTAGTTAAGAAAATAAATTGAAAATACAAATAAATTCATACAAATAAAAATGAATGGTTAAATGTATTGCTAAGGCAAAACTGAAGAATGGCTGGAGTAATGCTATTTTCATTTAAATATGCGTTGAAGTACGAGGAAGGTTTTTATGAAGAGAAAAATTGGAAAAATGGAAAAATTGCACGGAAAAACGTAAAACCCAAATTCTTATTCAACACATTTACACTGTTCCCAGCTGTTAATTCTAGGGAATTGCCAAATGTATGATGGAGCATCATTTGAGAACTGATCAACCAATTTGGTTGATTTCCCTTTTGTTGCGTTTGTAATTGTCAGGGCAAGATTTGTATGGGAAATTGTTTGGAAAATACACGGGAAAACTAGAAATTTGGACGGTTATCTTCATGTTAAATTTTAACGTTTTTATATTGTTTGAAATAGCTGAAATTTTGTATACATGTGTCCTTGATTATGTGAACAGGGAATAAAGAAGAATTTCGAAATTAACTTCTAAGGGGGTGAAAATGTAGCCAAGTTTGGGTGGAAATTTTTTTTTTTTTGTATTTATGTTTCTTGGTATAATTAATCGAGCACATATTTCGTTATTATAAAAAACTAGACCTCTGAAAAGGGGTGAAAAGAGGTTGCAACGTTTGTATGGGACATATTTTATTTGTGATCAGGTTTACTTGAATGTTGCTCTTAATACTCATTGATAATATTATAGAAACACATACTTTGGCAACTTTTAAAAAAAAAGGAGAAATGGGGTTGCGACGTTTGTATTTGAAATCTAAGATAAAATTAAAACTTTGTATGGGTAAATAGGGAGTTAATTCCGCGGGGAAACGATAGTAAGGAATAGAATTAAAAATAATAAGTAATGCTTTGTGTGAAGAATAAATTTGGATAACTTTTTTGTTAATCAACAATTTACATTTATTTTAAAGTGATTTTCTATCTGTTACAATAGATTATTAGTTGAAAAACAGCATAAAAAAACAATGAGTAAGGCCTCGTTGTATTTTCTCATTATTTTTATCTTTTACAGTTTTTTTCCTCGAATGTAAGATAAAAGATTCAATTACTTCATTTATTGCAAGTAAATAAATATGAACATTGGAAAAACTTTGGCTGTTGTTGTAGAAGATTGAGCTAATTTGTTTGTTCTGCAAGTAAATAATGAATGCAGAGCAATAGATAAATACACATGACTGTTTTTACGGTACATTTTCCATTCGCAGAATGGAATTTGTTTCAGTTCATGCATGTTATTTAGTTTACATTAAATTACTTGAATTCTCATACATTAAAATTAAACACATGTTTGAATGAATGTAAAACCTACGAAACATGGTAGCGAGTTTTACATTACGAATCAAGGTTAGACACCACGAATCAATAGCAGAAAAAATCACGTTTCAGTTTCAGTTTTCATTATGAAGTCGAGACAGCGTTCACCGTAAGTTGAATGCCAGAATCAAAATACAATCGTGTCTGTTCGATGATTATGATTAAAGTTCGGTGATACTGAATGGTTAGATATTTTGTCGTTATTAGAAAATAAAAAATGAAATTAATAATAATCATTTATTTCTTTATGACAATTCTATTCTCAATACCCGTTCCTTGCCGGCAAGAAATAGTTACCACAGTAATGTCTATTCTTTCCGTAACCGCGACTACAGCTAAAGTAGTGTCGGATCTTTGGACCGAAGTTATCAACAATCCAAATGCAACAAACGCCGTTCAGGATATCGCATCATCTATTGGTGAAGTAAAAGAGGCTATTGTCATGAAACAAATGGCCGAATTGTATCGACTCGTCGGCAAAATTCAAGAAACGAACGAAGTCAACTTTGAATCTATATCATTAAGTTTGAAATCAGTTCCTAATTACCTTAAATTAGAAATTCGACTAAGCCAATTGGCTACTTATACCGATCTTATTGATGGTTTGAATGAACATATGAAAAATTATGCAGAAGGCAGAGGAGAGTTTGAAAAGTTCACTTTAGAAAATTTCGCTAATCAAGTAGTTTCACATAACGGAGATTCTGTACTGAACATAGTGGAACGGATAAATCGATTGGTATTTCGAAATCGAAATGATGATGGATTGTTTCGACTTGTGGAGAAGTCCCTAAAGGTAAGATTATAAAATCTATTTAAATCTTCGAATAATATAGTAATAAAAAAAACTAACCAGATAAAGCTAACTCCAATTTTATTCGTTTATAAAATCAGAAGCGTTACAAAAAAGAGTACTACTGTTATTTTTAGTAGTATAAACGAATTACACAATGTACATTTTATGTAGGTACTCAACTGCACTTGCTCAGTAAGTGTTCTATTTTAATAATAAATTGAGAACCATCATTCAGTACAACAAGTAAACCTTGTTTAAGAACCTAGTTGTTTATACAGTTTTGGTACGTAGTCGTCCCACTGGGCTTGAAATAAATTCCCAGCAATCGGATCACCGAGTTTATATTTAGCTGCGAACTTGCGAATGGAAAACTTCCCTCTCCCATCACCTGATCTATTGGTGAGTTCCTTTTCGTCAAAATTCAATTTTCCGGACTGTTTATAAACCACGATAATGTATCGGTGGAGTCCCGAACCTTTCGGTGGTCCTGCACCAATATATTCGGACAACACTTGTCCTTTCGCTATGTCATTTCCGGGTATGTTACCGACCAGCCAGTGGTGCCACTCTCGGAATTTTGGATTCGATCTGCTTGGAGCATCCGGATCCGTCATGCAGAGAAGGTAAAAGCTGCCTTCTTCGGCGTCCCATTTGACAGTCGGTGGATCTTTTACTTTGGTGGGTGTTAATTCGTTACCCAAATCAACTTTCACATTTCCTGTGTACACCACTTCGAGAACTTTTTGAGGAATTTTATCTAATACGTCAGGAACTATGGCGTGCTTTTCCATTTTCAAAAATATAGAATTCAATCACAACTAAATGTCAAAGTGTTAATAAATACAATGCAGGTTGTTAAGGAAACAATGACAACTGGAAAATATTATTGATTGTCTCTGTGTATGGTAACCAAGGTATTCAAAGCATCACATCTATTATTTTGTGTTTGATATGCAATACGCTAAAAATAACCCGCGTTTGTTTTGTCAATTTTATTGTAGCACCAAATTCTCGAAGAGCAGGACGGGGGCACTGCAGTACTTATGTTTTACATGGTTCATATTTTTCTATGTTATTTCTATACTCGCAAATGGTTAATTTAGAAATTCGAAAAAGGTTGTTAAAGGCGTATGTTTGGAACACGGCGCTGTACGGGTACGAAACATGATCAGTGGGCGCGACGGGAAAGAAATGTGGTGTTACAGGCGAATGATGAGGATACCGTGGATAGAGAAGGTTAGAAATGAAGAGGTATTAGAAAGAATATGAGAACAGAGAACTCTATGGAAGTCAATAAGAAATAAGCGAGATAGGATGGTAGGACACCTTCCCAGGCATGAAGGTCTAGTCAGAAACATATTAGAGGCAGAAACGGAAGTTATGAGGGGTAGAGGTAGACCCAGATTAGATTACTGTTCACAAATAGTTAAGGATGTAGGTTGTTCCAGTTTTAGGGAAATGCGAAGTTTAGCTCAGGATAGGAAAGAGTGGAGGTACATGTCCAACCAGTCTTAGGAATGACGACCTTATGATGATGATGATACTTTTCTAACTAACAAATATATAATTATACTACATCTATGAAATAATTAAATTTACTATGTGGCATGAACTAAATATCATTGATTTAAAAAATTCAATGATGCCGACGAAACATGATTCTAAAGCTACTTAATTTTAATAGGTTTTGCTGATTTACTATTAGATGAATAAATTTTTGCTTCTTATCCTAAAACATTGACATTCACAAAAAAAAAACTTGGTTTTAAGTTTTCCAACACTTTCACTTTGGTTATCCAAACCATTACATAAACTATTTTCTATACTTTGAGGTATAGGTTACGTATGTAGGTTTGTACTTATCGTTCGTCAATATTCAAATCCTACAACTTTGATTTTTTTTATATTTTAATATGACAGTTGTGAAAACTGCGATTTTACCATGTAGAAACAGTTTCTCTTTATTGTTTGGATTATTTTGTATTCAATTATTTCAATTTTGCACACCTTCTTCTGAAATGGACAAAAACGGAGTTGTTCCTGACGTAATCGATAAAATTCCACCCAAAATTGTCGAAGTTACATATGCAGATGGCATCAAAGTCCAAATGGGAAACGAACTAACGCCTACCAAGGTAAAAGATCCTCCAACAGTTCAATGGGAAACTGAGCCTGGAGTTTTTTATCTACTGTGTATGACCGATCCAGATGCGCCCAGCCGTAAAGATCCACAGTTTCGTGAGTGGCATCACTGGCTTGTAGGTAACATATCCGGATGTGACGTAACAAAAGCCTGCGTTATATCCGAATATATCGGATCTGGACCGCCGAAAGATACAGGCCTTCACAGGTAAAAATATCTATCCAATCATTGAGTTTGAGATTTTTTTTTACTTGTCGAATATGTAAATATAAAATTGGAAGACATGTGCTTAGTAATAAATTATGAAACGTTAAATGCAAAGTGAATAGGGGTCGATATCTATGTATAAATTACCGATGAATTAGTCACGATTTTAAAAAAAAAAAATTAAAAAACAAATCAAAAACTGTACTTTGAACCTCAAAAATATACATTTAAAAACAATCACTTATAAACACCGTGCTACACATTTACATTCGAAGTGCTTTGTATGTAAACGATGAAAAATATTTGCAACCATACTAATACTAATATTAAAAGTATAAACCAATACTGACTCTAATAAAAGAAATTTTTCTAAAAATATTCAGATTTCATTAAAAATATTAACACGACAAACTTTTTTTGAAGAGATCAAAAACCATAATAATGATAATGAACAATTCAGGTATTCTTTTTCTTTCTGGAAAGAAATTCGACAACAAAAGTATTAATTAGCACAAAAAATACCTACGTTTCAAAAAGTACTGAACTCATTTAAGTTTATTGAAAACACACTTTGTGGTATTACATCATCATTTAATAAACTCAATAAATCATCGATGTATCTATTGTCTTTATGCTATCCCTATATTTATAGGTATGTTTTTCTGGTTTACAAACAGCCAAAAAAGCTCCTCTTTGCAGAGAAAAAATTGACCAACAAATCTGGCGATGGTAGAGGGAAATTTAGCATACGAAATTTCGCTGCCAAATACAGGCTGGGGGAACCTATTGCAGGAAATTTTTTTCAAGCGCAATGGGATGATTATGTGCCTACCCTTTACAAACAATTGGGCATGTAAAACATTTTGTATTCATTCGTAAAAATATTTCTCAGAAGTTGTCATACAGTCAATTTTTGACGGTAACAAACTGAATATAATTAAGAAGGTGATAGAACTTTTACATATCATCGACCTGCGAACTTAATTGCACGTTGTATAGTGTCAACTTGATAAATTAGGATAATTACCTGATGTTTGTAGACGCAGAATTGAAATAAAAAATTTTCAGAGTGATTTAGAGTAATTTTCACTGGCTGTATTTTAATGAGTCTCTCTTAATTTCTATACATACGAGGGCGGTTCAATAAGTACCGGTGTTTGAAGACGGAGGACGTTCCTTAGGGAAATTGGTGTTGTCATCGTGTGCTGCCATCTATCAAACCACGTCAAAACGAATGTCAGACTGATTGATAGGTTAGTTTGGATTTGGCAGCCATTCCACTCAGACGTACTTCGTTATTTACGCTAAGATGGAAAAAGAGCAGTATCGTTCGGTAACCGCTTTTTGTTTTTGGATGGGAAAAAATGCGAGGAGATGAAAACAAAGTTGGATACTGTTTATGGAGACATTTCGCCATCTACGACCAGTTAGATATTGCTTCAAAGAATTTAAACGTGGGTAAAGATCCGTTTTTGATAGGAGCGACCAGGAAGCCTGGCAAACGTTGTTACCGAGGAAATCATTTTACGGATTTTTTAGGAAAAAGACGAATGATCACTGGACAATACTACAGTAACTTATTGGACCGCTCCGATAAAAAATTGAAGGAGACACGGACGCATTTGACGAAAAAGAAGATGCTTTTTCAACACGATAACGCACCGGCACATTCATCAGGAGTTGTTGCCGCCAAAATGCATAAATTACGTTATGAATTTGCTGGCGCACATCCCGTACTCACTCGATTTGACTCCCTGCGACTTCATCTTGTTCCCTACCATGAAGAAATGACTAGCGAGAAAGAAATTTAACTCAAACGAGGAAGTCATCGCCGAGACAGGGGAGGATTTTGGAGAGTTCGACAAATCTTATTTTTTGGAGGGGTAAAAAAATGGCAGGGTCGTTGGGAGAATCTGTCTAAGAGGACTATGTTGAAAAATAAAAAACCAAATTTAAAAAAAAAGGTGTCTTCATGTCTAACACGGGTACTTATTGAACCGCCCTCGTATGTATAATTTCTGTATATATTTATCAAATGCGTTAACTAGTGCAAATATTTTCAAGATTATAAGTTGCATAGTTTTTGAAAAAATGGGCTGTGACAAACACATCGACAGATGGATACACCAATGATCTTATAAGCTCTAGATATGGATTGCATTTCATACCAAGCCACTTTTTTGTCAAAATCAAAAACAGTAATGCTTATAACTGACACAATAATGATGCCTTTTGTCAACTTTGACATATAACATGTAAATGACGATGGAGAAGCATGGTGTTGTGCCAGATGTAATAGACACAGTTCCAGAAAAACTACTGGAAGTGGTTTACGACGATGGAGTGAACGTGGATGGAGGCAACAAACTAACCCCAACTATTGTTAAGGATGCTCCCCAGGTTAAATGGGAGGCTGAATCCGACACTTATTACCTCCTCTGTATGACGGATCCAGACGCTCCCAGTCGAAAGTTCCCGAAAGCCAGAGAATGGCACCATTGGCTAATCGGGAACATACCAGGCAACGATATTTCCAAAGGACAAGTCTTGTCTGAGTATATAGGGGCGGCACCACCCCCAGACACAGGTTTCCATCGCTACGTTATTTTAGTCTACAAGCAGCCGACGAAATTGAAATTTGATGAGAAAAAGTTGACCAATAAGTCGTCCATGGGAAGGGAGAAGTTTGCGATACGCAATTTCGCGAAAAAATACAATCTGGGAGAACCAATAGCTGGAAATTTCTTTCAAGCTAAGTATGACAATTACGTCCCAACTATATATAAACAAATTGGCGCTTAAAGAAACTAATACACACTTCAAGCTGACATACCTGTCCTATCAGAAATATAATGAAATTAGAACTGCGAGATTGCAAAAACCAAGGAACTGTGAGGAATTTAGATACACGTATAACTGTAATAAAACAACTCATAATAAACCGTTTATTCTTTTCATTAACTACGTATTTTATTATTTCGTATATCGATTATTTATTAGGCACACACACACACACACAATTTTAAAACTATAATTTCTATGTATGACTCATTTGTAACTGCCAACTTCTTATGCTGAGGTAAGCACATGCTACCGGAAATGAAAGGACAAACATAAATTCTTGAGTAATAGCAGATCATTCTATAAAATCTTTGTGCAGTCGTGAGATAAAAAATTATCCGGAGACCACTTGGAAGTTGCGTTTCTGAACTCCCGTTCTACTAGAATGTTTTAAATAAAACGAGTAGCGAATTTGATTCAATGAGTTTAATGAGCAGCAAACTAGAGAACAACTTAACAAAGAGGGTGGAGTCTAATTGAAACATATAATGGTGGTGGATAAATAAAGGAATTTCCTGAATGTCGTCATATACGAGAGGGTGTTGAGATTAACCAGATATAGAAAAGTTCTAGAAACAGGTATGAAAGAGCTAACAAAAAAAACTTAAAACTTTTGGGTGTTTCATTCCCACCAGCCAGTAATGCTGGTGGGCGGGCAGTCCCTCCGGAGTATGCCGGAAGGTAGGGCGGAAGGCCCTCTTCAGCCTGCTTTCAGGGATCGTGGGAATGGGTGGGTGGTGGTGGTTCGGGTGAGAAAGATGAGACGGACGAAAAGAAGACAGAAGAGAATGAAAGATTATCTGTGGAATATTACTGCCTCAGCATTTGCCCGAGTGATCCAAGGAAACCACAGAAAAACTTGGACTAAGGCAGACGGACCCGGAATCGAACCGGCGTCCTCCAGAATGCTAAGCAATGTTCTAGACCTCTAGGTCATGCCGCTCGGTAAAGAGCTAACAATCAGCCAGGTATTAGTGACAGAAAAACCTCATTTATGCTACCAGGAATTATTGAATTCATCACTTACATTTTGTTTGTATGACAAATAGAATATTCAAGAAATATTGTAAAACCAAATAATAAAGGAAAGGAATTTATGACCTAAAATATATGAAGAAATGTTATATAGTTGAATTTGACAAAGGAACAAAGAAATTTAGAAATTTGAAATATAATGAAAGTAATTAACAATACTAAATCTAACTAAACGGAAAAGTTTTTGAATTAAAATAATTCTAAAAAATATAGATAATTATTAGCACTAAACAATCTTGATCTTGAAAGTAATTGATTATTTATTAAATTATTTGATTAATAAACAGATTCTGAAAACAACGATTCCAAAATGGTTTCTTTTCACAACTATGTACGTTCTTCCTTTTGAGTTTTGAAGAACGTCTGCAAATGGATTTTGAATGACTTCCATTGGAGAGTCGAAAAAAACGTTTTGTTTTACAAGGCTACAGTTGGGATTATCCTCCCTACCAATGTATTAGTAACTTTTTATATACACACTCCAAGTGAGAACACATGCAACAATTTTTGGCGATTCTGATCGGTCAGGGCTCAAATAATTTCATTTTTTTTTTAACTGAGCCCTTCTCTTCGAGTTAGGTTAGGTTACAGTTTGGAAGATGGTCTTGATTCGGAAATTGATCAGGGCGGACAATCTTGTCGACCAATAGGTATAAATACACATAAACAAACTTTAGAGAAAGGTTTTTGGAAATACCTACAGCTTAATGATGGAAAAATAAAGCTAAAAATTGTTTTAGGTATTTTCATCTAGGCTTTTATAGTGTATAATTAATAAAGTAAATTGTCAATAATTTCGGAAAGGTTGACTCATGATGTGGGCCTTTCTGACAAATACAAGACATTGCCACTTGTAATACATGAGTTGCGGCGGTGGTTCTTCAAAGAATATTAATAACAGTTTCTTGTTTATGCAAATCGTCATCTTTCCAATGAATCCACCTTACTCATTCACTTCAACTTTTACTGGTCAATGACCAGAAATTTAAAAAAAATAATAAATCCTACAATGCGTGTTCTAGGTATATGTATGGTGTAAAATATAAAATTCAACAAACTCTAAACAATATTATGGTGTTTGTTTTTAAGTACCAAATACTGTCTAAGTAGATAGGTATTATACTGCCTTACTACAGCTACAGTTCTACCATTCAACAGAACGATTTTTCCATATAATTATTAAAATTGAGTCTGACATACATATTTCATTATAACTTTCATCTATTCCAAAATAATTTTGAAAAGTTAAAAAATTAATTTTGAATATTCCCCATCTTTTTGCTTTCTATTTTTAAAAAGTACATTATGTATTATGTCAGGTCAGACATTTGATACTGCCTTTGTTCTTTTACACTCCATATACTTCACACAAAGACATTATTGCTCGAACAGACCTGGGAGTTTATTGGTAAATTCTTGGTAGCTCTTAATGCCCTACCACTGGAAAACCTTGGCCAACGACTTGCTTGCTTACGATCGCAAGACAGCACGCGTCCACCGCCATTTGCGTGCAGGCGGTGAGAGGTGGCATGCAGTCAGTTGCTTTAGGCCACCCGACAATTCTTTTGAACTGTTTTTTTTTATATAAAATATCATCGTTTGATTATATTAAACATGCTGTTATAATCAATCGAACGAAACATCAAGTGCGTTTTGTACAGACGTATTCTGTGATAAATTTTGTAAATTAAGTGTTCAAGTAAATATTAAGGATGCGTTTAACAAGGGTCTGCGGAATCCTGCTGTTCGTTTGCACGTGTTCGATAGTGCTTACTTCTTCGAAGAATATTATTACCGCGTTTCCGCCCGTCCAATGGATGATAACCGCGTTGGACGTGATCAGGGGTGTTCAGAAGGTATGGAAGATAGTTGAGATGACCATAAACGAAGATGGTCCAATGTCACCGTTCATTGATCAGACAGAAAGGAAGATATTTCGCAAAATGGATCTTATCTACAGGAAATTAGATATTATTACCGATTCGACGGACGCGGTAGGAACGCAAACAATTACCACCATTCTACGCACCCTTCCGGATCGAATAAAATTAGAGTTGAGGGTCAACGATCTGCTGGATTACATGACTCGAATAGGGGTGTTCTATAGAAACATGCGCTATTACGCCAACACTGATGATTTAGAACGACATACCCTTGAAGATTTCGCGCATAATGTCATCTCGCATGACGGAGGGTCGGTGAGAAGTTTATTGGAACGTGTACATGCATTTGTCGCGTCAAATGATAAAGGATTAACAAATACAGGAATTTTACATTTGCTATCTCACGCTGCACAGGTAAGAAGTCACGGTTGGTAGGGTATTCCCCTGATACTAATTAGGGTATTCCCCAGATGAGAATAAAAGCTATTCCATATAAATTACAGAGCCCAGGTGTATTATAAAAAGAAAATTTTTTGAAAAGTCCATTCGTTTGATAAGTGACTGGAAGCGGACTGAATTTGATTTCATAATAAACCTGCGGTATTTTTTACTTATTTGATTCGATTAATTGTTTCTAAATGATGAACCACTTTTGAAATACACTTACAAGCAGTAAGTTTAAAGTTTTGTACTTATCTATTTAAAACTTTATACCCAATGGCGTGGAAAATTGGCATTGGTACAAGAACAAGCGTTTGTTTTCACTATATGTATGTCCAATGTGACAATAGTAAATGCAGTGACCAGAAAAATAAAATATTTGATTGCATGCTAATAAAAATGCAACGTTAATTAACTTAAATCCATATTTTTTAAATAGTATCTACACACATCGCAAAAGCAACTTTTACGACTGAATCGTAAAATATGGTTTAATGACCTTCAATATACATATAAAACTGTTCCTTACAAAAGGTCGTTTATTTTTTAACTTGAACCTAAGGAATTATTGAATCAATAATATAACAAAATCTTGTTTTGAAGGACATCTTATGCCATCAAAGAGTAACTAAACAAGTGGCGTTAAATACAAATAAAAGCGAAGTTCTTGTTGACATGTACTTAATTATATACCTATATATGTTGAAATGATAAGATACTTATATGTATATGAGAAAATTATACATACAGATTAGATAAATACTATCTATACCCACCAGAACAATTTGCGATTTCGCCTGAACAACTACAACTAATGAAAATTGAAACATATAGACATATAAATGTTCTGTCATAAAAACTCGAATAAGATACATCATATGGATATATACAAGCTAAGTTGGAAAATATTACCTATAATTGTTAAAAGTCAAGGCTTGATATCTATCTGAGAGTCAAACAATTTCCATTTGCTTTATTAAGATTACCTGTGTTCTGTCGGAGCTATCTGCGATGCGCTGATGAGATCTAAAAATATCGAAATCGCGATCCGCGTCTGGCAGTTTCGACAGAATACAGACCACTTCGAATTATTTTATTACATTAGTTTCAGTTTTCGATCCTATGCACACTATTAACATCAATGAATTAGATAGCAAATTTATTTGCTGAATGTTGGAAATGGGAACAGCATTTGTTTTATGTGATTCGATGATGTTTTTAATGATGATAGATATTACTTTCATTACTACTCATGTATTCATTAACAATTGCTCAACCAAAAGAAAAACAGACTGTAAAACTTTTGCAAGAATCGAGTGGTATACTTTTTTACAACATCTTCACTATACCTAGCTAGATACAGAGAATTATACTAGAATAGGGATTATCAATCATTAAAATATAGTAACGATTTTGCCCCCATTTTTTCAAACAATTTCAAAATATTTTTACGATTAAAGGAAGTTGTCAAAAACTTATAAATATTCACGAAAAATAAATCAAACCCTCAGCTCGCCTAGATCCATGGGTAATTTCTGAAAGAACTTTCACTTCGATGATTACATTCCTATAATAGTGTAAAGTACATTACAACAACTTTCCTACCGTGAAACTGTTTGTACATAAAGCGATTGTTCCTAATTTGTCTGACAGTGATATGAAACAATAACATCATCATCACCGTTAATAAAAGCAGTTGATGTAAAAGGTTGACGTAGACCAGGATAGGACAGTGGCGAATTGTATAGTATAGCAACAGAACCGACTGTTTGGAAGGTCAAACAAACGTGGCATAACAAATTATTTATTTGTAATATGTTAAATGAATGTACTAATTATTTATGGAATTGCTTATCCAGGAACGAATTCGTTATTAATCTTATGTGTGTGGATGTATGTTTGTATAAGTCATGAGCCCAACAATTCTATTTAAATTACGATTAGACTAAATCGTTCATTGAGGAAAACCCCATTCTTTAGTAGTACAAGTAACGATATTGCTCATTTACGATGTAGGCAAATTTATGGTCCAATTATATTATATCATGGAATCATTGGAATGATTATGTAAAGCACTATTTAACAGCAACTGTAAGGTAAACTGATAGGTTTATTTCTTCGTTGGTTTGGTTATTTCAGTGTTATATTTTCTTGTAGGGTTTACGTTTTAAACCTTCATCAGTGTACCGCTACTGAGATGCCGTTAGCCTGTATAACACTCGTGTTTTCTCGTTGTCATGTAGATAATAATGATCGTTTGGGTAATTCATTTCGCCTTCCGTTAAGCTTACTTATTAACGTTACTGTCCACAGCGCATGTCACTACTTGAGAGAATAAAATTCCCCTTTCATTCGTTGCTTCATCGTGAGTTTGAATAGGTGCCGATGTATTAACAAAAGGTCTCGGTATTTTGGTGTGGTTTACGCTAACAAAGAGCAATAAAGTGACGATCTATCTTGTAGTAGCGGGCAGTGTTTGATACAGTACAGGAATTCTCATGACGGCATCTGTTGTCTGCACGATACATTAAAATTCGGTAAAGAGGAAGTTATTTTATATACGATTTAAATTAAATATCTTCACGAAATAAACCTGTTGTGAACATCAACTTCCACAGTGTACCGATTTCTTGGAATTTTAGAAGCATTTTTCTTATTTATAAAAGTAACTTGACCTTGTGTTGTTAACAGAAACTATTTGAATACCTACTATTTATTGATACAATTACTTTTTGCAATATAGTTGTTGTAAATTTGCACTTTTTTTGGTCTCTTCTACCGAAACGTCAACAGCAATATAAACAAAACTAATAGCAAAGAACATTACAATTGCGATTTGAACTACATTTTTTGTGGCAAAATTTACAAAAAATTCGTACATACACCACACAAGATAATACTTTGACCTTTGACGATATATTTGCGATCAAGGTTAACTAAAACGCCTGGAAGTAAGCAAATGTTTCCAAATAAAAACTTTCTTAGAAGTAGGTATACCAAAATAATTAATTCCTTTAAAAAAATTATATATATTTTTCGTCAGTTCCCACGTCGAAACTTTCTGAATGCGAATAATTCTAAGTATTCGTTAAGGTAAACATAAATAAACAATGTATCCTACACTATTGTTTAAATTAATACCAGCTAAAGTATTTCGATTAGTCAGAGAAATCAGATACCTGCATGGACATACTGGATGACAAGAATACCTGAGTAGGTAAATAGGTAATCTATGTAAGCATATGTACTTACAAGCGAAGTAATTATCTACCATCATTTAAAATCGTACCTAACTACATAACAAATATTGAATTGGTTGATTTTTGACTAGTTAATTTTTACTACGTCTTCAGATAATTATTATATTTACATCTGACTGAAAACTAAAATTAAAAAAAAATCAGCAAAAACTGGGTGATGATCATATTAGTTAAATATTTGCTGATTGATAGATAGTACTGTTTTAAGTTTTGAAATAGGTCATGGGTTATTATTCGCTATTACTGTTCTAATTATTTTTATAAACAAACTTGTTTAGAACACTATACTATTACTTCAATGTTTTCTTTTAGAAAATTTGTCGAAACGTTAATGTACAAAATTATTAAGACATAAATTAAATATTTACGATTAATAGTATCTTCTAAAACAAAGCCTTGTCTAATGAATTCACAAAATCATTTTTATGAATCATTTCATATACAGTTATCCACCTTGAAGCAGTTGCCAGCAGGTAATACGAATATCTTCGGGTTTATAAACGATACACAAAACGACAAATAAAATTTGTTTACAGTATAATCACGTACACTACAAATTAATTTAGCAATTCTCCATTGCAGTCGACAATTATTAGTCAAAACATACGCCTGTAGGTGTTCCATACTCAAACATTTTCTTTTTAATACCTCCAACAAAGCTTGTAAATATCATAATGGTAAAAAAGCAACCAAAAATTTATGGGTCACTTAATTCAATAAAGTCGATATTGAAAACAAGCTGAGTCAGGTATTATTGACCTTTATAAAGTGCATAACTTATTATGTATCAGCAGTTGTTTTATCGGAAATGCTTATGCTTAACGAAGACCAAGCAAAATAATTTTAAATCTCTTAAAATGTTTTCAAATTGGAGAACTAATAACAGGTTTGCTTCGTACAGAACATTACATATGTGTTGACAATTCGTTACTTTTTCCAGTCATTAGACTAAATTGAATAACCACTGGGGACAAATGTAAACAAGATACAACTTTAAAACAGCATAATAATAATGTCGCTCGCATTACTATTGGTCCAAATGACCCTTTTTGTCTCATTATTATCGTTCAATTCGATTGAAGGCCGTCGAAAAGAACCAGCACTATCTAAGTTAGATAAAATGAGGCATGACTTCCTCGAGTTGGAGGAGAAATTGTGGTATGACCTCGACTCGCGGATTGGAAACGAAGTGAAATTTCCGGAAGTAGATCTGATAACAAAATTTGAAGCCTTCGACGTAGGACAAATACAAAAGGTACACGGAGGAAAAAGTTACTAAGATCTAAAACCATTTAATTAGATTGAAATACCAAAATCGATACTAAAAAGTAATTGTTTAGAAAGTCCATAATGAAAATTAAAATGGCAATTGAATTTGAAGGAGATGGTACAAGACATATCTGAAGGGCTACAAGAAAGTTTGGCAAGTGTATGGATTTGGCAAATGACTAATATGGAGTTAAAGACCATTCGTTCTCAATACGAAAGTTTCCGAAGATTTCAAAGACTGCAAACAGCCATTAATCGAATACCGAGTCCTCAACAAGCTTGGCTCGACTTAGTTCAAACTTTCATGAACAGTTCAAATTCTATTGTGGATTCACAAGAAAACATAGCTATCTATATTAGTAAGGACAACCTTTTCAAGGAATGTCTCAAGGTAAAAAAAATCATTAAACGACCTGACCGAAAGAGAACAAAGCAAACTATTCTATAATTGTTTTTTTTTTATCAATTTCGTTTGTTAAGGAAAGTTCCATGTAAAATGGCCCATTTTGAAAAAAAAATTCCGGTCTAAGTTAGTATGCAACAGAACTTGAACAACTGGTCACTGCATTTTCTAGCCTGTCAAAGTTAATAAGAAAATTAATTTAGACTGAGCAAGATGTTAATAATCCAAATATTTGAAATTTTCTAGGAAATTGAAGGGGACATGCGCTGCAACACTAAGCAATCCCCACAACAAGTACTTTTCAATCTGTACAAAAGCATAGCACTAACTGAATTGAAAGGGTACATGATGATGCAATTTTCGTATATGCTTTTAAAATTGTATAACAAAGGTAAAAAATAATTCGCAATAAGCCGTTTAATTAAGACGAACTGCTTTAAGTGTAAATTATTTTTCAGGAAATTTTACGAAAGAGGCCTCTATAATGAAGGAAAGGTATGCCGAGCGAACAACGGCAGCGATTCAATCAGTTAAGGAGGCAATGGCGGATGCCTCGAGAGAATTTTGGAGATGTGATCCACAAAAACACGTTTTAAGTAAGTAGTACCTACAGGTTCCTAATAATATATTATTTTTTTACATGTGGTTTTTTTTTCAGATGAATCCTATATAGAAATAACAAATTTGTTACAGGGATATGTACAAAATGAGGTAGATTTAAACCCCGAAGGAACATGCAGGGAAAATTGTGCGTACTATTCGTACACTAAAAGTCACTCGTGCTACCAAAATCTCTACTGTCAGCAGCAAAGACGCTGCAATGGGAGAATAATCGATTGTCAGTTCATAGATTCAGATGCATGGGTTTGTCCAGCGGTAGGCAGAATAATTTAAAACTCAGTATATACGATTAATATAAACATTAATTCATGTATTAGGATGTGAAAAGTGGACGTCGGTACGAATATATTGAATACGAAAATGGAAGAACACTAGGGAGAAAACAAGGATGTCCCAAGGGGCCCGTCAAAGTAGACAGTTGGTGGAGATGGCTATTCTGGCACTGTTCATATTGCTTCTGCTTATGCGACGAAGAGAGCGTCTATTCAGACAGATATATTAATATGAGATCAGCTATAGCCGATGTAGTAAACAACAGGGTCGTCACGGGACTCAGATTCGTCAAAAACAATCGCATAATACACCTTCAGATTCAAGAAGGCAAACTACTTCCTGGTGGTGAAATAGACGTGACAACCATCCATTGGGTACCAGTTGAAAATTATCGCATCACCGATAAGAATACATTCAACGGTCAAGACTATCACACCCTCACTTCAACTGAAAGGGAAATCGATTTAGACGATTTAATTGCCGATGATGGACATGTTTTGACAGGTATCTGATTTCAGTCCAACTAATTTAAAATACTGACGGTCGCTTTACCTTTTGTAGGGGTTCGTTTTAAAAAAGTGGGTCAGCATCTCAATTTTGAAATATATATTACACCATTCAATTTCTCGTCTGGACAGTTAATAGATCCGTTGCATATGAGCGTTTGGAAAGATAATCTTATTTCATCAAGGTATCAAAATGTGTTTTGATAAAACCTACTAAAAAAAACTATAGAAAACGTAATTTTCTAGGAAAGTTCTGAATATGGAAAAAATGGATGTACCGATAAGAAGTCCTCTACCCTCTGTGCCAGACTCTAAATCACAACAAGTTTTACAATTCACTCATACTGATATGGACCGAGATGCGTCCCAAACAACGGTGCCATTTATTGATGCTCAACCGGTAGAATTAATGATACCAGTTCCATTAGCTGGCGCAGGAATTTATCACAAAGGACGTCCTCATTTTGGAGGGTTCATAGCTCCAAAGATAATTACTTATGACTACAGTAAACATTTGCAAGCTGGGTTTCCCGAGGACGCAGAGAAAGTTCACTAAGCAAATGCGTGGGCACCTTTATTGAAAGAATTCCCTTTTGTTTAAATTTTCTTTTTTTCGTGATATTAAAAATAATTTTACGTAATGAACAAAACAAATTAAGTTAATTTAAAAGAATACTGTGACCTGTTCTCCTGTGACATGTATGACAACATAATGATTATCCTTAATATAAGTTTTTTTACAACAGTGCATTGCTTTTTTTAACTATGTTTTTGCATAGGAACGGAAAAATGTTTATCGGAATTGTATTAATTTTGTACAAAAAAATATGTTGTTCTCGAGTGGTTACAGTTATCTAAATTCCTCTATAGTACACATGTTATATGAACAATAACGGACAAATGATGGTAAACGAATCTAATAACAAACCTTTGTATATTTATACAGCTAATGTTTAAGTACTTAGGTACTACATGGCTGACCTAGGTGGCACTTTTACCTATGGTAATATGGAAGCAATTTGTCTCTATTTAAAATTTATAATTTCAAGTTGTACTCGATATAACTACCATTTTAAGCCGAATTTGATCATGATCACCCAAATAGAGAAATAGGAGACCTGATATATGAATAAAAAAAAAACCTAATCCTTCAATACCACTGCACGATGAAATAACGCATTTCAATGCAATCCTATTTTCACTTGCCTAAGCGAATAGCAATTTAGAAGTTTGTATAATTAATTGTCTCGGCATTTTAAGGCCATAAAAAGAGCGCACGATGACTAGTCATACGATTCACGCATGCGTCATTAAAACGCGCCCTAAAAGAGTTTCCTATATGGTAGTGTACGAAAGGTACATGCATCTATATGTATAGAAAACTAAATAACATCGAAAAAATTTATCGTGGTACCCTCCACGACTAAAAGTACAGGAAAAATCACCGAGTGGCTCATGTAATAAAAGTAACGAAGAAAAACAAAAAAATCCTACCTGTACACGAAGGGGATGCATCATCAACAATCGGAGTGTTGCAGATGAAGGTAATATTTCGTCTAACGTCATACCCTGTTTTGCGATAGCTTGGCATAGGAATACAGCGAAATATCGATGGAGAGGCAGATGGAATGATACTTGGCTATCGTTCTAAAACAAGAACAAAAATTAGAATCCTTCAGAAGTACATAAATTTTTTGAGCAAAGCAGTACAAATGTACTATCTTTAAAGGTGCTGTGAATTACAGAAATTAATGTGATTCGCAAAAATTAATACATTGTTATACCACAAACTTAATTAAGGACGTTGTGAGTAATTTTTACGTAATTATTATTGAGTTACAATTAATTTTCATAAAAAAGGTCATAGATATTTCGAAACTGCTTTTTCAATTTTTATTCTAATACTACTGCGCTTAGACTATAATGTACCATATTGTAATAATATATGCTAATCCACACATCTACAAAATTGAAGTGTTTATATGTAATATCGAAATAATGTCAAAAAATTAAAATAAACTTACCACATATGGACTAGTAAACCTTATTGCGCCCAGCCATTTGAGCAATGCGTTGAGACACGAGCTGAGCACTTTTTGTGTGAGATGTGCAGTTGTGTCGTCGGTTAGGTGTGAGACTAAAGCCCACATTGGGTACGCACTTGCTTCCAATTCAGCACTGAAGGCGGCATAGTACGTATTAGGCTCAAATTCAACGTGTTGGTTTAGTTCTTGCTGGTTCACGTTCATTCCTGATGGATAAGAAAACAATCGAGTTATTTATCACTGAAAACGAAGCAATTTACAATAAAAGTAAATGAAAAAATAAATAATGAGTACACAATTTATATATAATAATACTAATCAATGACAGAAACCCTATTTAATGAAGTAAAAAGAATATATCAAATTATTTTTTTTTAGACATTCAATATGATAAATAATTTCTATCAATTTCTTACCTTGGAACATAGACAGAAACGTGAACCACATTTCTAACAATGAATTGTCGGCCATGAACTTTAATGCAACTGGTCTGTGTGACAGAACGTTGTTCAAATCAGAAACAAGAGGCCAATAGCAATGCTCTTTCATCACAGGTTTACCACAGTCGACGACAAAGTGGTTATTCGAAAAAGCATCTGAAAGAAATGATAAAACATAAGCATAAGATCAACTATTTTAAGACTGGTTATGGTATAAAAAATGTTCAATTATTAGGCATATAGAGAGCTATTAAGCACTTGCAATACAGTTCCCACACTTAAGTTTAGTTTGAAGTTTAAATTAAATGTAATTCTCAAGCTTTTATCATAAAGTTCGTCTTATTTGTTAATAGTTAATAATTTTTTGTTACTCTATTGTTATCGAATATGCGATGTATCTTTTTTAGTTTGCCAAAATTAATTTAGTAATGCTAATTAATATTTAATTAGAATCCATTTAATAAAGTAATAAATTTATGGTGGCCACTACTTTTTTATAAATAAATCATTTGATCATTCCATGCTCCATTGACAAAGAAAAAAAAAATAGAAAATGTCTACAGCAGTTTGATATTGATATTTATACATTTATAAAAAAACTAACTCGTATTGCATACTAATACACAGTAGTGACGTAATTGTACAGTGTAAATAAACTATAAAAAACAACTCCAATAATTATAACCAAAGGAGAAATTACGTGATTATAACAATTGAGAATATATAATAATATATAAGTCTTGCAGTCAGTAGTGTTAGCGTGGCCTAGGGCAGATTTTGAAAGAACCACGCCATTCCTGTGCTAAAAAGTAGCAAGTAAAGTGGTAAAAAATTAAATTCCCCCCAGCCAGTGTAGCGTGTTCTCAATACTAGTCTAGAAAAAAATGATTTCCAGTTATAATTTAATGCTTACCATGAAGTGTATTTTTTATCAGGATCTTGCTCATCATGTATTTCAATGTAACGACCATCACATGAAGCAAGTTGAGCTGCTCGGTCATTCTTAGGGCGAGTTCTTCGTTTGAGAACAACTGAACGCTAACGTGAACCACGCGATTACTCAAGGTGTCTGGGTCTGTCGAGCTTTCCAACATCATTGAAATTCTACTGTAGTGAAGCACAAAAGCTCTGGTTAATGCATCCTACAACAAACGAAAAGAATTAATGGAACGAAGGAATGAATGTAAAACTTATTCATGTATTTTATTTCTTTTTGATTTGAAGGTCTTTTTATGCAAAACTGTGAAAATGACCAAAAATGAATGACTTTACCTATATTTTCATTACTCCACCATTTCTTGTGGGTAATTAAAAGTTATTAAATATTTTATAT